TTGAGGTAATGTGATTACTTGGTGTGATCGTTTGCCAGCATAGTGGGCTAGGATGCATTAGCAGTGTGTTAGATGTCTTTTGGTAAGATAGAGTATAGATGTCTAGGGGTACATGGTGATTTGTACTGAGGGATGTAGAGTGTGACATTGGGATCACAATTGGAGATGCGATCAAATATGTAGAATCATTTATTTGTAAAAGAGACCCTGTACAGGTGGAGTGTGAGAGAGGCGAGAGGCACTTCTATCACTTCTGTAAGGTGAAGGCCCATAATCCACGTAGGTTGGGAGAAGTGATGTGGTGATAGAGGATTATCCTAAAGTCTTAGGATCTATTGTGACTTACCAATTAGACATGAATTGAGTGGTTTGTTTAGTGAGTATGGTGGGCGATGAGAGGAGGTATGTGCTCTCGAGGTGGGAGTAACATGAAATGGGATAGGATAAGTATGGTGAGATCTTTCGTGGGGTCATTTATGCATTTGTTGCATATGTGTTTGACCGTGTGTTGATTAACTTTGTGTTAATCTGTGGTTCTGTATGAACGTGATTTTGAAAAGATATGTATATTATCCTATATAATATCTTCATCACATGATTATTTGTGTCACTGTGATACTTATTCCTACTTGGGTGTTTTTGGACCTTAGCCTTGGTGAGTACATGGAGCAAGTATGGTGTGTGTTTCGGTTCGAAACACGAGGTAAGGTCTGTGATACCAATTTTATTGGATTACCTTGACTGTGCAAGTTTAAACTTTGTGCTTTGGTTACTTGCATATTATTGGGCATCAAGGTGGAAATTGTTGGATTTTTGATACCCAATAATCTCAGACGATGATGTTAAATCGATGTTGGATAAATTAATTATCGACACCCAAGATTGAGGACCCGACCTTAAAATTATTTGGACCATTGGAAGCGATCTAATTAATTAGTGTTGCTCATAACCCGACTTCCACACTCATTGGACGGGTTATATATGTTGGCCCACTTAACCTCTTTGTATTGGACTTAGCCCATATATTTGACCTAACCTAAACTATATAAGCTAGCCTCCTTTGCTATTGTAACTCACGTGTGTTTTGTCTTGTCTTGGAAGAAAACTTTCTATCTCTTTGCTTTGTGCTCTCTTAACCAATTTTCTTCTTGTTTCTTCATAACTTTTGTGGCTGAAAACACCGTCATTTTTGGGTCCTTAGTGGGTACAAGGTAAAAGCAACTGGAGTGTGGAAGAAAGTTTGAGTTTTGGTCGTAATTTGGTTGGGTGTTATGAATGTTGAGATTGGTATTCTGAGCCCGAAAAATCCACCAATTGAAAGTCAATTATTCAACATAAAATAAGATTCCTCAACGTAAGGTTAAAAACTTGAAACCTAGAGTTAATCATGAGCTCATTCCATGTGTCACAACTGTTGTGAGTTAGATCACAAGACTTCGGCGTCGCAATCTCTTGATTAGGAACAACAAATAGGATATCACTACTTAGGTTAGGTTATTAACTAATCAAGTTAGTCACTTGACTGATATGATGAGTTACATAACTAAATGACCTCTTTTTCTAGAAAAGTCTGGATTAAAAAAAGTGAATTCACAGGTCAGAGTGATGAATTATGGAGTCACTCACGTTGATCTTAAAGATAAAAATGTTTGTATACCTCCTTGAGTAGGTCTTTGGGTGCATGCATATTCCTGCATGCACTCTAATTTTTTTTTTCTTATATCATTTTTGCATTTTTAATAATAAAAAATATGAAAAAGAAAGGAAGAGAGAAAAGGATTTTTGGAAGTTATAACACTTTGATGTCATTGAAATCATGTAATCAAGTACTAGTAATAAGAATGAACGGTAAATAAAGTTTTCATCGACTCAATTTAGAACTTGTATAGAGTACTTAAAGCTTCATGTATCATCTGTAGTGTACCACACTAAGCTCTTGTAAGTGAGTTTTGATCGCATAAGTGAGATTTGGAATACCGGTTATCGGTGTAGTGATGTAACCTTGAATATGGATTAACTTTTAACTAGCTGACCTAAGTTTTAGTTTATTCCCCATAAAAGAAAACACGAATGTGTTTTAAAAGATTTGAATTCCATGTCAATAAAGAAAGTGATACATCTTATACTTATCTTCGTATTCTTTATCACTCAAGTGATTAGGCTTACTCGGGTATCTAAACCTGGTGCTCTATATTCATCGATCTAAAACCCAATACAATCATCATTTAAAATGTTTAAGAAAAAGGTCTGTACATAAGATGTGAAAAAAAAATGTGCTCACAATTAGGAGGAGAAAAAGTCGTACATAAATAGTTTTGAATTATTTTGTTTAAAAGATTTTAGAAGAACTGGTTTTGACATACTAATTTACCTGTGATTTCTTATGCATGTCCATTTTCACAAATTTAAAATTTTGATTATTGCTCACAAGATATTAGTGGCACTTCTCACACATAGATCACTTATATAATTTAATCCATTTAAGTTTAGGACTAGCTGTGTGGGAATAGTTCATTATTCATGAATTATACCTATATAAGTAATCAAATAATTGTTCATGTGGTCATGTCATTTGAATTTTCATACCATGAAGTTATGTTTAAAGATGTGTTATTTTTAAAAGGAAAATAATAATAATAATAATAATAATAATAATAATAATAATAATAATAATAATAATAATTCTTTTGTTACAGATTTTGCATAGTTTATCAATCAACATATGTATGTGTATCTCTAGGTCAGGTTTCTCAATGTGCATAAGTAGTGCGTTCTGTTCTTTGTTATTCATGATTATGTTGCATATTTTCCTTTGTCATTGGTGACAAAAAAGGGGATTAACATTATTTATTTCATGAAACTTTCTAACTTCTTCTTTATTTTCTAGTTTAAAAAAGTTTAATTACGCTCCTCCGATTTAAACTTTCTAACTTCGTCTTTGTTTGTTCACTACTAAACAACTCTTTCACCACCTTATTCTGGCACAACACAAACTTGACTACATAGAAGTATCTATTTCGAACTCATTGGATTGAAAATGATCGAGCAATGATAGGCACCAGAGATTTTTTTATTATTTTTTCATATATATTTTTTGGCTTCTTTGACTTTATATCGAGATATGTGTCCAAAAGTAATAAGACGACTGTGCTATAATTTTTACATTTCGTATTGTTATTAAATAAGTGCTTTATATTTATTTGTATTTTGAAATGATATTGCAAACATGTTATTAAGCAACCGATAATTGCTTTCAATCGCTTTGTTATAACACTATGGAGCGTTTGCATAGAGAAGCACAGTGAGACGCTACTTGTATTTCATGAAGAATTTTTCTCTTATACCAGTGACCAAATATTGACAATTTGTTCTATTAAGGGAAATACCATTTGTACAGACAGAACCCCTCCAAAAAAGACACATGAGGTCGGGATCCATGGGCGATAAAAAATTGCAAAAAAATGTCGACCTCCCACCTTGTATGTTGTCTGTAGAGCTTCTGTGAAACCCTGTTCTGAACACGTAGTAAGATTGTTCTATTAACATATAAGTATTGGAGCTCAAACTATTCTAGGCCCGACTAAGTCCCTTTAATAGCTCTGAAAAATGTATTTGACTTCATTACAAAAATGGAGTTTGCTCCCTGTCTTGGCTTGGGGACAGGGTTAGGAACAGGGGCGCCACATGGCGTCCCCCTATTGGAGGGGCGCCTGCCCCTATCTTCAACCCTATCCCCAAGCCGGGACAGGGGATTTTATCCTACAAAAATCTATAAGCATACGTAGGGAGGAAGGCTAGGACATATCCTAGACTACCCTAGTTACCATATACTGTGAGAGAGAAGTGATTTCGGTCTCTTAAGTCTATATTTTGTTTTTCGATATATACTCACCTGTGTCATAAGTAATTTGGAAATATCAAAGGAGATTTGGAAAATTGAAGAGCGGAAATTCAAGAATGACGATTGAAATTGTATTAGCGAACCCACGGTGAATCAAGCATCGAGGAGTAATTCAGCTAAAGCTCGATGTGATTAATTAGAAATGTTACAAGGCTATTCAATTATCTAATCATATCCCAACTTTGCAGTTTTTAAATAAAACTAAAAACTTTTGTTATTTATAATGTCAATAAGTCTATTTTTAAAAAATTGGTAATGATTGCATGTTTGTAATTTTCTATACAAATTTTACAGAAAACCAGAAATCTCAACGAGGGAGAGTTTCTAATAATTATAATTTTTTACACTTATTTATCATCCTCTAATTGTACGATCATTAGTCTATTCCTATTTTCCTCTCCGAGTTTTCTTTATTTTTGTTGATTTTGGGAGATGAATTTAAGATTGCATGAATTTTTTTATTTATTTTGAATCTTCCAAATGTGACTTTCCAAATAAATAATTTCTCTTTCTTATCTTCAAAAATAATTATAATTCAATTTACTTGCAACTTCTAAGTACTTATTTTAGCTAATTATGCACCATTAGTATTTTCAATTTTGTTGAATGATTATATGTAAAAATATAACGCCAAAAATAAATAAATAAAAATCCGAAGGAAACATTGAATTTACGTAGTCAAATATTAAGTGGATAAAGTTTTCTTCGGGCACCCTTTTCAACAGAAAACCAATGCATAAATTTTAATTATCATTAGGGTAATTTTCTTCCCGTGGTCATTGATCTTCCAGCAAAATTTTAATCATCTCTAAACTTTTAATTTAATTTTACATTTCATCACCACGACGGTAGATTGACGTGTTTCCAAGAAACATCTTTTTACGGCATAATTATCAATGGATAAAGATAGGGCCCTGGCCATGTGGTGCCTTCTATTGGTGGGAGGTTTGTCTAGATGTGGTCCTGACCATTTAGCATGGCTGATTATCAATTAAGGAAATTCCATGAATTAAGGAGATGACTTACGATAGAGTGCAGTAGTTGTGCAGTGCCGGTGCCGGTGCCGGTGCCAGATATGTTTTTGGCCCGAGCCAGTGCATTCAGCCCGAGAAAAGAAGTTCCCATTAGACAAATTCAGAAAAAATGTAGAAATAAGACATTTACAACAATGACGCATAGATCAATTTAAAATGAAATCTAAGTGTGCATCAAAATGTACCAGCCTCGTGATTTCTGCACCAAAGAAGTTCAAGTAGTTTTATCATACATCTGCAAGTAACAAGGTACTTTAAGCGACGATAACTTGTTTTCCAGCTCGAACGCTTAAGAGATTTGCCTCAAAGAAATTGACCAAAACTTGGAATGAAATCAGTCATCCAAAGCACAATTCCCATCATTGTTTTACACCAAACTTCGAGCGCAGATTACCAAGATTCTCTGCAGTCTAGATTTCCCTTGCTGAATACTTCGTCCCACATCTTATGAAGATCTGATTTCAGAGGAAATTCAATTCGGTTAAAAGGATTTGAAGTGATAATGGTACAAACCAACTCTCAAAAGAAGCTGAACTTGCAAAACTTGTCTATAATCCACTTCTCAATAACGCCACCCTTAATTAAAGCAAACAAAGTTATTGACATGGGACTAAATCCTAGACATCAACCTTAAAGATAATGAAAGTCAGATTTCTGTCCAATTAATAGCTTTGGAACTAAGAAGTGCTGCAAGTATTGGGATGCGATAAACTTAGAGAAGATGTGCAGTAAGTCAGCGAGACGTAAAAATTCAGCATCCAATTAAAAGCTCTCACTAACCAAGAAAGTATTGTAGGACCAACAAGATCTGGGTATTGAAAGAAATTTAGGGAGACAAGAAAGGTTGCGTCGTGTAAAAAGAAAGCAGCTAAAGATAAAATCCTTATTTTTATTTCCTAATGCATGAACCATTTTCTTTGGTACTATCTCCTAACTCCTAACATGTCTCCATTCTGAAATTTGATGTGTATTATATTACAGGTTGATAAAATGTTAATCCAGCAATGCATTCTCACAAAAGTCAAACCCCAATTACAAGTCTTATTAAATATGGTAACAAAGTTCAATTTATTTTACACTAAAAAGAAATCATTTATTTAAAATAAATGCCAGCATTAATCCTGTAACAACAGATGAATCCCTAGTGAGGTGGTTAGTAAGATTAAGTATTAAATGCATGTAATGGATAATAAAACCAAGAACCAACAATTATGTTAATGGCATATCAAAAGCTATGATGTGAAGGCAGTGAAATTCAACCCTCTTTATAATACATTTATGACGAAATTAATCATTTAGACAAGATCTCTGCTAAAGTAGAAGTATAGACAACATATAATCCATGAAATTACATCACTAAAATGCTTGCTTAGACATACCAGCCTTATCCGATGGTGAAAGGCACATGATGACAATGTCAAATCTGGGGACCTTGGTTAACTTCTCCAAGTATTTTACACCTAAATCCATATCTGCCCTGCCAAACAGAATATTTAAATATATGTTAGCATTCAATTACAAGCATAAAAATTTCCACCACATATCATAAAAACTATATAACTTACATGAAAAAGGTGGCAATACACCTAATCATGTCAATAAGCATCGAAGCAGACAGTGCATTTTTAAATATCCTGGTAATGCAGTTGCTGGTGTCACCTGATAAGTGGGCAACACTTATTTATATTTCAAAATTAATAAAATACAAAAAATAAGGATAAGAAGCCACATATCAAATGATCTTTTTCTTCTTTGATAGTATGCTATCCATTTCCGTTTTGTCATAAATGGAATAGGTCACATTTGAACAACTAAACTTATATTCAATTTTTTGACAAACTGCCTGTAACTAAAAAAGAAAAAAAGTAAGAGTGGAAGAGAAAATGACAATGAATTTGACCTTCAATAAGCGAGCCTGTAGATTACGGTCACCCAAAAGTCCCCGCTAAGAAACCTCAAACTGATAAGCTGAATCTGCCACGGCAATATGTTTTGCAGCTTGCCTTGGCGAGATTAGCAGCTCTGGCAGCAAGCTCTTGCACGGATGCCTTCAGTTCTTGCTTTCCATATTTGTGTTTACTCTAAAAAAATTTCAATCAGAACAGATTACAATGAGAGAGAGCGAGCGTGAAGCAGCAAATTTAAGACCAAGACACGTTATACCGTGATATTTTACATCTAAAAGCAAATATGATACAAATAGTCCTCACTATCAGAATCTCTATTCATGAATATCACATAAAAACAGCAAGATAATGCTTTAATCCAATCCCAAAGATCATAGAATCTAACCAATCAATGATGCCCCATCATATTATACTTCTGACATTAACTGTCAAGACTCTCCACGGGCATCTCACCATATTTTTTCTGCCTATGGACAGATTACTTGCTCATCAAAATAAAAACCAAGAATTGCAATCTCTATAATGCTTGTACAGAGTGAATTCCAAACATGTAACTTAGTTATTGTTCTCAATTTTTAAGAAATTAAAAAGGCTAGCTTCGAGTTTTCAAAATGAAAAACAGGGAGTCTCCATACTGTTGTCTAGCAACATTTTTTCCCATGAAAACTGCACAGAATAGGACCTATTATCTGTTTGCATTATAGCCATATATATTTTTTCTTGAGCTAGTAAAAGAATGACTTGATCATGGGATCCATCATTATCCCAGGAGAAGTAATGAGAATAACTATAGAATGGATTACCACCAAATCACAGATTGCAGATAGAAGGAAATTTTATGTTAAGACCTTTCAAATTGTCAACGACTTCTTATTACAAATGAATCCCAACAACTTCAAGAGAAAAAGAGGCATTTGCCTTTTACGCAAATGATTTGATTCATTAAAACTTTTAACCTACAGCCAACTGGTTCCATCGAATTATTCTGTATTCTTTTCCTTTTTGGAAGATGAAGGGGAATGAATCATTAAAATAGTGATCTGTGGGCATTCAACACAATCATTTTAGTCGAAATGCACCATCCCATCAATCCAGCCAGACATCTAAATATATTGGATTATGAGTGTATACATGTCAGTTTTCCACTTTTCCTGTTGTAGTAAAATTTGCAAAATTTGACCAATTTTCCATCCACGGGTATTCTTTGGCACAATGGTAAATTTCTGAGCATCCATCAAGAAAACAATTTCGAATCACTGTTCAAAACAGGAGGGAGCCCGTACAAGTTACTGAATGTTATGACAGAAAATGTTTTATCCTCATACCCGGAACACAGCAAGCATGGGTAAGACCGTACTATTGCAACAAAGCTCAAAACCCCTTTGGCTTTCTAACTAGAAAGTTACATAAATTACGATAATTGTCTAAAATGCCCTTAACCTGGTCACTCTGAATGTCATACAACGCTCCTAAAATTCTGTATTGAATAATTTTCTACCTTGTGTCCCCCTTCCATTTTTCCCTGCCACTGCTATCCTCCACCTAAGTTCCACTTTCTGGTACAGATACACTCCTACAATACAGTGAAATAACAGAAATATGGTAACTTAAAAAATAACTAGGGGCCTGATGTTCGTTTTAGATCTGAAAAAGCAAGAGAGTTTTTATTAAGCTTTATAGTCCTCCAAAGGTTGACCATATAACATGTCAAAGAGCAGAATAAGTGGAGGACTAAAGTGTCTCTGAGTAAAGTATAAACGTATCTATGTATATCACTCCTAACCCACACAGGACACATACAATAAGTAAAGCTCATAGCAAGGATCTCATAATAAACCTTTACAGTCCCCAAACCAGTGCCCGCATCAGATCCGAGGGTTCTCAAACTACTGCTTTCGACTTCCAGAGATGTCTTTGAAGGTTGTTCTCTATCCTGTTTACCAATTTTGAAAGTTCAAGAAAATAAAATAGACATCATCCAGAAAAGCAGTGCCATAAGATATAACAAAGCATAAGATGGAAAAATAATAATTATATTTTAGTCCCTGAACCAACCAGTCAAAAATAAACCTTCTCATAACTTAAATATTTCACAGGCAAACAATAACAAAATATTGCCCTTAGATGTGCTACCAAATTTGTAGTGTTCATGGCAAACCAAAATTCTTATCACCAAAAAGTAGCATCAGGACATTGCTTAACAAGACAAAGATATTATGCCCCTGTTTGGTTTAGAGAAAAAAATCAGATTTTTATTAGATTTTGATAAAAGTTGATGGAATGTGTGGTTGAATTGGGAATCAATCCACTTTTTAGTGGAACCAAATGGGCTATATTCTTTCAGGCACCTAATCAAAAGTTAGACCCCATAGAAGCCTTAACTGGACCTAAGTCATGATACTTTGCTTCAGAGTCAACTAATCCTTCAAAAGATAACTGTTAATCAAGAACCAAAATAAGTTGAACTCCAATTGTTCAGACCTGGGAATTATCCATGTCATCCACTCCTCCAGCAGGAGAAGTTGTCGAGACAGATTCGACTTCGTGAATAGATTTGCTCTTGTCCACCTTCAACTCTCCCGCTCTCTGTACTCCCCATGAAGAGTCTGCCGCTGCTCTAGAAGTCTTCTTAATTATCTCCTACAGAATACATACAATGACAAAAGATAATAGAAGGAATGGAAAAAGAAACAGCAGCAACATAAAGTGTCTAGAAGAAGACTTTAGCAAGAACCAAAAACAATGGGTACAGAGATGAAGCCTTAATATTTAAGCATTTTAACCACACTGAATACCTTGGAGCTTTACAGCCTGCCATATGATCAAAAAGAAGTTCCGGAACAGTAAAGGTTGAACGAAGAGAAACTATGGCACATGCATCTAAGCAATTATAATAGATATTTCTTACTTCACAGTTCACATAATATAACAGTCACGACACATGTTCTTCCTTCATCCAACAACCTCAGGACACCCCAATATCCACAAACACTATTCCCGTTTCTTCACTACCAAGAAATTCTACTTCTCGTCCTCTTTGAGCATCAAAAGTTAACCACTTTGAAGCCTCATAACCCCATACCTACCCATATTTTCAGTGATAGGCCTTGACGTGGACAGCCCTAAATGGCCTTTCTGGTTGCTGTCTACAATTGAGGGGCTTAGATGCATCTGCCTTACATATATACATACACAGTATGCTATAAGGCTTATAAGATACTAGCCTTATGCTTAACCAACATAAGTTTGAGAACACTTATGTTTTCTAAGTTTTACCAGAAACAAAATAGTGAAACATGTATATCATGCTTTATGAAATGTTCTTCTATGAAAATGTCTCAGATGTTAGGCACAGAGAATTGGATTTGATCTGCAAACTGTTCAAAGACTTGTTTCAGCCTTTGTTTGAATTTTGTTGCATAATTGTGCACAAAAAGTCTTCATCGACTTTGAGCCAAGAAACTGACATATTATTCTTGTAGATTAGTTCTCCTCAACTCCAATTTCAAAGTACTGTTTCCAAGAATCAGCAATTTTTAACTTTATAATTGATTCCTACAGTTATGAAATTTTTTTATACAAAATGCAATAAGGAGGCCATAGATATTTTTCTCTTTTCCTCTTTTGTACTCAGAACAGAAAAAGAACCTTCTTATGTTTACGTAATGATTATGTATATTTAACGATCTTAATGCAAATCCAATCGAGCAATGAATTTTATGACCTCATTCTCCATCTGCTAGATTACTTATTAATAGAAGCCAAGATTTTCAACTCCTGAAATGTATGGATTTCTCAAGCTCAAAAAAGAATTCAATATCCTAGTTCCTAGTCTAATCTTCTCAACGCAGTTATAAGTTATCCATAACCCATCCAATATATTAGCAAGGCATGTTTCCCCTTAGTGTTGCAAATAAGATGTAGATTGTTCTTCGAGCTTCTCCACTATCCTCTATAGATATAATTGTAGATGCCATAAGGTAGACTAACTTGCAGTTGTTCATGTTAATAATTAGCAACATACTATAACATCCCATGCAGTTTAAAATAAGCCATGCACCATAACCATAGAATCCCAGCAGATGCCCAGAGGTGCCTTGGGCACCATCACATCAAGCAGTAAAAACAATTCTGATTTTTGACCCAGCCATGAGGGGCATGCTTAAACTTTCTACCATGAACCGATAAATATATCTTATATCAAAACTATGAAACAATATCATTCAGACCCTGCTAAGATATGATCTATACCTTCTCCAACAAAGATTTGACTTCCACATGCTGCTTCTTGATCTCTTGGTTGTGTGGCTCCAATCTCAAAGCGAATGCAGCATCTGCATTTGGCTATAATTATTTCAGCCAGAGCATACGAGGAAAGTGATTGAAAAGATATTTCAGTTTTAACATATCAATTTGGCTCTACCATCAATGGATTCTTTCAGTTTCCCAAGTTCTTTTCTAGCTGTTGCTCAACGAGAATATGCCTTTATGTAGCAGTCATCTAAATTTAAGGCCTCCGTACAATCATTCTCAGCCTCCTGGAATCTAATAAATAAATACGAAAAATAACTGTCTTCTTCATTGCAAAATTCATAAATCATATGTAGAATAAATAGAAAAGACCTCCTGATTTTGATATAAGCCATAGCCCTGTTTGCATAAGCTACTGCAGTTGGTGAGAAAGCAATGCTTTGGGAGTAGCAGGCTATTGCTTCATCAAATTTCTTCTGCTTGAAAAACTCATTACCCTGAAAAGTAACATGGAAGGCCAGATGAACATCAAGAAGAACCTAGGCACCCTTTCATCCTGTACAATAATAACTGAACTGTTTCAAAATCAGCATAGCATACCAACTCGTTTTCTGAATTGGCATCCACAGATTCTTCCACCGTTAAACCACCTGATGAATGAAGGATTGCGTCGTAGCCTTTCAAATAATCATATTGTCTGCCAGAACCTAAATTATCAGAAGCCATACTTCTACCACTGGTTGTTTCACATTAACTCCAGTGCCATTAGAATGTTGACTAGCACTATTCATGCTATGTCTCTGAGCTGGAAGATCCTTGGAAAAGAAAAGTTCATGGAGTGAGATAAATAGCAATTAGAGAAGGAGTGCAAAAGGCCAAAGAAAACCGATTAAACTTCTAAAGAAACTATATTGAGAGTGGTAATTACCTAGTTGTACATAAATAACAATTCTATCCAGAAGACACTAAAAGGAAAAAGGCAGACTTTGCACCAATTTCTCTAGAAAATGTTGATGTGAAGTAATTATTGACCCATTAAATCAAATGATAAAAAGAAGGAAAAAAAATGGAATAGGTTGAAGAATGCAAGTTTGCATATAAATTAGATTACCAACTTGTTCTTGCCAACTGATTGTGATTTCAATTTGTTGTCTGTGTCCTTGAACGATGATTCCCAATCCTGTAAGTTATTCAATAGCCCTTCGAAGTCCTGATAAAACAAAAAATCCCAGTAAAGAAATAAAATTACTCTGAAGTGAACTCAGTGCCCAAGCCAATATAAACAGGAACCATCTAAAATTTTTCCAAGTCAATTTATCATTGAATGATCAGAAATGAAAAATATGAAAACCAAGAAAAGAAAAGAAAAGAAAAGAAAATGGAATAACATGGAAAACAGAGCAGAAAACGGAAGGAGGAATTAAAAAAAAAAAAAAATTACGACCAATTTTTAAGATTTAATTTTTTAATTCCAGAAGGACTGGAAACGAATGAACCAAATTGAAAAATTTAACCATTGATACATTCACTCATAAAAAATTTCAGACTTTCAGAAAGAAATCCACCTAGTTCCATTAAACTAAATGGCACGGAATAATAACCTATGAAGCCAAAATTAAACTGGACAAATTTAAAAAAGTACATAAAAAAAGCAACACGGGCCAAAAAATTAAAAAAAAAAATTGTGAAAGAGAGAGAGAGATTACTTGAAATTGATCGCGAGTACGCTTGGCGGGAACTTTCGCCATTGATCCCATTTCCTAGCAAAAGAATGTACAAAAAGACCGTTTAAAGAGTTTTGCACTCCTGTTAAAATCGCGGTTTGGTAAATGAAACATACACGATCTATAGCCATGCCGTGTACACTGTTATTATTATAATTATTATTAATGCAAGCACGATTTATCGCCATACCGCATAGGATAAAACTTAATATTTTTTTAAAATGAGTTGTTGAAAAAGAAGAATTTTTTTTCGATATACGTGTAATATTATTTTATAACAAATTATGTGATTAAAAACAGGAGAAAGAAAAATAAAATGTAATAGAATGAAAATTAATGAGAGCCAAAAACTAAGTTTAACTTTATAGGCTTACGACCTTAATAAAAATTTATTTCAACATGGATATGAATTAACTTCTCAAAACTTGTTCGATAATCGATTCAAGTCGGTGATTGAAAAACTTCCTTTTCTTAAATGGCCCCACTTTAACTATTGAACGCTTTGAATATTGAGTGAGCCAGACGAACTTGTTAATTGTCCCATTGGACTCATAGAAATGAACATTTCTGTACCGTGTTAGTTCGAGGCCAACTAGCCTGATAACCATTCAAGCAAACAAATGATTCAACATAAGAATTTTTCAAAAGTAACAGGAAAGATCCACAAACCCATTTTTAGACCATATAATTTACATATGCTTAGGTAGAAATATCCAATTCACGGTTTAAACTGCTATATTTCCACTATGCTTTGTCTAAATATGAAATCTTGGTCTTGAGTCCCTGCTACTGCTACTGCTACATTAAAAAAGCATTATTACATAGTAAAAACATGTCTCATCCATTGACCTTTTACACACCAAGGCCAACAAGAACTCGCTGCAGGTGCTCGTATTAGAATCAGGAGAAAATCAACAAGCAGACAGAGGTCGTGTCTTCTCGTGTATTGCCTTGTAGCACTGAAGGCTGCAAAGAGGGAGGTTCGACTCAGAATCTCGATACTTGTATGCATTTGTACACGAAGGACCAGCACATTTCTCGCGTGGGGGAGGATAACTGGTAGTCCACATCAAAAAACCAAATCAGCAAGCAAAACATAAGATTGGATTTCACCTCTCGCACAGAGAGGCTGCACTACTAAATCCATCATGGAACACTGTTTGGTTAAGCTAGAAAATAAGAGAACATGACTTGCTCAACATACTTAAAACTAGTAAACATCAGTTCCAAGAAATCATGTCTTCTACTTAGACTTTACCGAGGAAGCCTAAGCCTTTGTGAAAAGAGCTACTGAGGAACAAATGGACCAGTTCCTACTTCAGGAACAAACATAACATAAACAAATTGCTCGCTTTTATCTTAAAATAAATAGTAATCATGTGTCTTAGAGTCCTCCCTCCTATTGAAACCAAATTAAGTGGAAATAAATAGTGTCCAATAAGATTTGAGCATATATCAAAAAGATTTAGAAAACAACAGTATTGTCCACTTTGAAAGTAACTTTTTATTTCCAAATGCATTTGGATCAATTGTTTATTTATTTATTTTTCCTGCCATAAGAGTATGCTTGGCTAAACTTAAAGTAAAGTTACTTTCAAGTAACTTTTTGTCCCAAAACATGCTCGTCAATTAAAGAAAAAAAATTACATTTTTGAAAGTAAATTTTACTCGGTGTTAAAATAAGTAACTTTTGTTTCTAACTTTCGCCAATAAAACAAATTATGTATTTTAAATTACTTGTTTACTTATAAGTAAACTTTTAAGCTTAGCCAAACAAGCTCACTATAAAAAAAAAGTTACTTATTTTTAAGTAATTTTTACCTTCTTGTCAATTTAACTTATTTTTGATTTCATATTATAAAAATATCATATTCTAAAGTTTATTTACTTATAAATGAACATTTTAAGCTGAGTGAAACATGCTCTAGATAATAATAGTGTGCCAGATCATGCCACTGTATAATACATATGAATCATTCACTCTATATTGCTCTATTACCTGGAATGCTTGGATTCAAATATACTTGGGAGGCCAATATCGTCGGGAAATGTCACAGTTGTCCCTGAAGGACCCATGACCCATCTAACAACATTTGATGCAACAGTAGCATTGGCAGCCCTCTCCTACATTATTTTACATGACTAGGGTAAACAAAAGGAAAATCTACTGTGCCATATGAAATATGGTATCTATGTACATCTTGTCACCTGTGCTAACTGCTCTTTCCGTTTCTTAATTTTCTCTTCTCGTCGTTTTCTACTGGAATCTTGACCCAGGATTTTCCTAATTGCTTCGGCCTGTCAATTCCAGGAATGCTAATCAGTAAATCATATCATCATATAATCCATCCTTCAGTAAATTTAAACATAGATTCTTTAAGGTAAAAATTGTCACAAAATACATATAAAAGTAAACAAACGAGAATATGGAGTAAATGGAAAGTACAAACCTCAGACTCACGAGCAGCCTTCTCATTTTGAATCCTACGCCTTTGAGCAGCCTCAGCTCTTTTAAGTTGATGTTCCATTTCAGAAAGTTTCTCCTTTTGCTCTGTGGACCAAACCAACCACGTTATCATAAGCAAGAAGTGGACTCAGAAATCTATGGACCCAGTGTCATTTAATGAGTTCAACAGGAAGGAATGCTCACTTCTTGGAGGGGCGGGAGGTAACCCGTTTGGAAACTCAATAAAATTCGCATCCAAACTCATGGAGATGTCTCTACCCTTTTGAAGGGCCTGCCGGCGTGTAGTTATTGCCCTTTCCCCCTTAGAGGATACCGAGACTTCAAATGACTCCTTTAATTGTTTCTTATTCTTGGTTTCTAGCTCACCATCAGATACCGACTCTTCATCTTCTGCATAGTCAGTGTCTTCGGATATTCTATCTGGTCTGGGTTTCTTACTCTCTTTGCCTGAACTCGAAATATTATAGTCTCTAACACCTACATCATACCCATCAAGGTCTCTATCCATTACCCCAGAAACAAGAACTCGCTGCAGGTGCTCGTATTAGAATCAGGAGAAAATCAACAAGCAGACAGAGGTCGTGTCTTCTCGTGTATTGCCTTGTAGCACTGAAGGCTGCAAAGAGGGAGGTTCGACTCAGAATCTCGATACTTGTATGCATTTGTACACGAAGGACCAGCACATTTCTCGCGTGGGGGAGGATAACTGGTAGTCCACATCAAAAAACCAAATCAGCAAGCAAAACATAAGATTGGATTTCACCTCTCGCACAGAGAGGCTGCACTACTAAATCCATCATGGAACACTGTTTGGTTAAGCTAGAAAATAAGAGAACATGACTTGCTCAACATACTTAAAACTAGTAAACATCAGTTCCAAGAAATCATGTCTTCTACTTAGACTTTACCGAGGAAGCCTAAGCCTTTGTGAAAAGAGCTACTGAGGAACAAATGGACCAGTTCCTACTTCAGGAACAAACATAACATAAACAAATTGCTCGCTTTTATCTTAAAATAAATAGTAATCATGTGTCTTAGAGTCCTCCCTCCTATTGAAACCAAATTAAGTGGAAATAAATAGTGTCCAATAAGATTTGAGCATATATCAAAAAGATTTAGAAAACAACAGTATTGTCCACTTTGAAAGTAACTTTTTATTTCCAAATGCATTTGGATCAATTGTTTATTTATTTATTTTTCCTGCCATAAGAGTATGCTTGGCTAAACTTAAAGTAAAGTTACTTTCAAGTAACTTTTTGTCCCAAAACATGCTCGTCAATTAAAGAAAAAAAATTACATTTTTGAAAGTAAATTTTACTCGGTGTTAAAATAAGTAACTTTTGTTTCTAACTTTCGCCAATAAAACAAATTATGTATTTTAAATTACTTGTTTACTTATAAGTAAACTTTTAAGCTTAGCCAAACAAGCTCACTATAAAAAAAAAGTTACTTATTTTTAAGTAATTTTTACCTTCTTGTCAATTTAACTTATTTTTGATTTCATATTATAAAAATATCATATTCTAAAGTTTATTTACTTATAAATGAACATTTTAAGCTGAGTGAAACATGCTCTAGATAATAATAGTGTGCCAGATCATGCCACTGTATAATACATATGAATCATTCACTCTATATTGCTCTATTACCTGGAATGCTTGGATTCAAATATACTTGGGAGGCCAATATCGTCGGGAAATGTCACAGTTGTCCCTGAAGGACCCATGACCCATCTAACAACATTTGATGCAACAGTAGCATTGGCAGCCCTCTCCTACATTATTTTACATGACTAGGGTAAACAAAAGGAAAATCTACTGTGCCATATGAAATATGGTATCTATGTACATCTTGTCACCTGTGCTAACTGCTCTTTCCGTTTCTTAATTTTCTCTTCTCGTCGTTTTCTACTGGAATCTTGACCCAGGATTTTCCTAATTGCTTCGGCCTGTCAATTCCAGGAATGCTAATCAGTAAATCATATCATCATATAATCCATCCTTCAGTAAATTTAAACATAGATTCTTTAAGGTAAAAATTGTCACAAAATACATATAAAAGTAAACAAACGAGAATATGGAGTAAATGGAAAGTACAAACCTCAGACTCACGAGCAGCCTTCTCATTTTGAATCCTACGCCTTTGAGCAGCCTCAGCTCTTTTAAGTTGATGTTCCATTTCAGAAAGTTTCTCCTTTTGCTCTGTGGACCAAACCAACCACGTTATCATAAGCAAGAAGTGGACTCAGAAATCTATGGACCCAGTGTCATTTAATGAGTTCAACAGGAAGGAATGCTCACTTCTTGGAGGGGCGGGAGGTAACCCGTTTGGAAACTCAATAAAATTCGCATCCGAACTCATGGAGATGTCTCTACCCTTTTGAAGGGCCTGCCGGCGTGTAGTTATTGCCCTTTCCCCCTTAGAGGATACCGAGACTTCAAATGACTCCTTTAATTGTTTCTTATTCTTGGTTTCTAGCTCACCATCAGATACCGACTCTTCATCTTCTGCATAGTCAGTGTCTTCGGATATTCTATCTGGTCTGGGTTTCTTACTCTCTTTGCCTGAACTCGAAATATTATAGTCTCTAACACCTACATCATACCCATCAAGGTCTCTATCCATTACCCCAGAAATCCTCCTAAGTTTCTGGCTCCTTGGTTCGACTCCATGCTCTGTATTATGAGAAGCTGACATTCGGGAAGTTTTGAGCTTTTGAAGATACCGAATTTCATCATCGTCTTCTTCTTCTTCAGATGCTTCATCAAATGAACTTTTTCTAGAGACATACTTGTTTTCTCGAGTTCGCCCATATTTATCAGCTTCCATGATCGATCCTTGGGAAGTACCCACTCTCCCAAAACTAAAACCACTTCTAGAGAAATCTTTCCATGGCACCCCCAACAAGCCACCTTTCTCATCTCTAACAGGCGAGCCGTCCTTTAATAAATTGTCCTGTACAAATGAAGAAAGCTAGGATCAGTACAAACCCAACATTTTTAGGCATAAATGTACCACCTAGAAGGGAAGTTGCTCTGATTACAAGGGGCATTGCCAAAAGAAGCCATGATAGAAACTTCATATTGTAATGCAGTACAGTATCCCAAATCCACGTGGAGCAGAAAATTCAGTTTTACAGACAAAATAATAATAAATTAAAAATTAAAAAAATAAAAAGTACTCACAGCGGTAAATATTCTAACTAAAAAAACTAACGAAAACAATCAAATCAGATAGCATCATTTGTCTCGAGAACATATTCAGTGAATGTAGCAAGAATAAAAACCCGGTCGGAGCTAGAAACTGCATTGGTATTCTTTTTTAATAACGAGAAGCTTAAGAGCCATTGAACATGATAACGATAGTTTCACTGACAGAGAGTATGCTTGGCTAAACTTAAAGTAAAGTTACTTTCAAGTAACTTTTTGTCCCAAAACATGCTCGTCAATTAAAGAAAAAAAATTACATTTTTGAAAGTAAATTTTACTCGGTGTTAAAATAAGTAACTTTTGTTTCTAACTTTCGCCAATAAAACAAATTATGTATTTTAAATTACTTGTTTACTTATAAGTAAACTTTTAAGCTTAGCCAAACAAGCTCACTATAAAAAAAAAGTTACTTATTTTTAAGTAATTTTTACCTTCTTGTCAATTTAACTTATTTTTTATTTCGTGTTATAAAAATATCATATTCTAAAGTTTATTTACTTATAAATGAACATTTTAAGCTGAGTGAAACATGCTCTAGATAATAATAGTGTGCCAGATCATGCCACTGTATAATACATATGAATCATTCACTCTATATTGCTCTATTACCTGGAATGCTTGGATTCAAATATACTTGGGAGGCCAATATCGTCGGGAAATGTCACAGTTGTCCCTGAAGGACCCATGACCCATCTAACAACATTTGATGCAACAGTAGCATTGGCAGCCCTCTCCTACATTATTTTACATGACTAGGGTAAACAAAAGGAAAATCTACTGTGCCATATGAAATATGGTATCTATGTACATCTTGTCACCTGTGCTAACTGCTCTTTCCGTTTCTTAATTTTCTCTTCTCGTCGTTTTCTACTGGAATCTTGACCCAGGATTTTCCTAATTGCTTCGGCCTGTCAATTCCAGGAATGCTAATCAGTAAATCATATCATCATATAATCCATCCTTCAGTAAATTTAAACATAGATTCTTTAAGGTAAAAATTGTCACAAAATACATATAAAAGTAAACAAACGAGAATATGGAGTAAATGGAAAGTACAAACCTCAGACTCACGAGCAGCCTTCTCATTTTGAATCCTACGCCTTTGAGCAGCCTCAGCTCTTTTAAGTTGATGTTCCATTTCAGAAAGTTTCTCCTTTTGCTCTGTGGACCAAACCAACCACGTTATCATAAGCAAGAAGTGGACTCAGAAATCTATGGACCCAGTGTCATTTAATGAGTTCAACAGGAAGGAATGCTCACTTCTTGGAGGGGCGGGAGGTAACCCGTTTGGAAACTCAATAAAATTCGCATCCGAACTCATGGAGATGTCTCTACCCTTTTGAAGGGCCTGCCGGCGTGTAGTTATTGCCCTTTCCCCCTTAGAGGATACCGAGACTTCAAATGACTCCTTTAATTGTTTCTTATTCTTGGTTTCTAGCTCACCATCAGATACCGACTCTTCATCTTCTGCATAGTCAGTGTCTTCGGATATTCTATCTGGTCTGGGTTTCTTACTCTCTTTGCCTGAACTCGAAATATTATAGTCTCTAACACCTACATCATACCCATCAAGGTCTCTATCCATTACCCCAGAAATCCTCCTAAGTTTCTGGCTCCTTGGTTCGACTCCATGCTCTGTATTATGAGAAGCTGACATTCGGGAAGTTTTGAGCTTTTGAAGATACCGAATTTCATCATCGTCTTCTTCTTCTTCAGATGCTTCATCAAATGAACTTTTTCTAGAGACATACTTGTTTTCTCGAGTTCGCCCATATTTATCAGCTTCCATGATCGATCCTTGGGAAGTACCCACTCTCCCAAAACTAAAACCACTTCTAGAGAAATCTTTCCATGGCACCCCCAACAAGCCACCTTTCTCATCTCTAACAGGCGAGCCGTCCTTTAATAAATTGTCCTGTACAAATGAAGAAAGCTAGGATCAGTACAAACCCAACATTTTTAGGCATAAATGTACCACCTAGAAGGGAAGTTGCTCTGATTACAAGGGGCATTGCCAAAAGAAGCCATGATAGAAACTTCATATTGTAATGCAGTACAGTATCCCAAATCCACGTGGAGCAGAAAATTCAGTTTTACAGACAAAATAATAATAAATTAAAAATTAAAAAAATAAAAAGTACTCACAGCGGTAAATATTCTAACTAAAAAAACTAACGAAAACAATCAAATCAGATAGCATCATTTGTCTCGAGAACATATTCAGTGAATGTAGCAAGAATAAAAACCCGGTCGGAGCTAGAAACTGCATTGGTATTCTTTTTTAATAACGAGAAGCTTAAGAGCCATTGAACATGATAACGATAGTTTCACTGACAGAGAACGGTTACCTGAAGACTTAGTTTATGATGAGGATATATGGCATCTGTGTTTGAAGACTTAGCTGAAGAAGTTCCAGCCACAGAGGATCCATCAGAACTAGATTTTGAATGAATTGTACGTGTAACGCCCCCAACCTTGAGTCTTACTTTCTTGACTTTGTTTTCATTTCCAGCTCCATCTGATGATACCCCGGAATTGTTACCACTTATAATTTCACTTGTTTTCTTGTCTTTCATTTTCATGCTCTTCCAGTTGTTAGCTGCTGCAAGATCATCTTCACTAGATTTCATAAGCTCTTTCAGGTCTCCAAATCCTCCATATTCATCATTGTTTTTCAGGACAGTTTCAGCTTCAGTAAGGCTAGTATACGATGCCCTTGAAATGCAATGATTCAAATTAAGTTTCTTCCTCCATGGAATAGCATCATGACCAGCACTGTCATCACTTGGGGCATCATTGAGGTGATCTGATGGCAGAGAATCATGGTCATCCTGAGGAGACTGAGATTCATTTGAAGGACGACGATTCATATTACTCCTCCTCCTCCTTACAGTTTTGGACATATTACCATGCCTGAAACCTCCAATGTTATCCATATTGGCCAAAAACACTCCTTTGGAAATCTGAGTTACCTAAAAAATTCATGACCTAATTAATATCAAAACAGACAAAACTCTCGTGAAAACAAACGCAAAGTAAAAGACGTTCAAACTTCAAATTTGCACATATATGCAGTGAAAACAATACTACCCATATTAATATGGATATTTTCCCCCCAAAAAAAAAAAAAAAAAAAAAAAGAGCACATTAATGCAAAACAAGAAAGATATTTCAAGAACAAGCTCCATAAACCACGGTGACGTGAAAGAGAGTTAATATGCACTTTCAATGTGCTTAGATAAATAAATCAGCTAAAGATACTAATTACATGAAAAATTCCTTTCACAGAGAAGAAAGCGAACTAGTAGTTGAGGACAATACTGAAAGCAAAAATATCCGGAAAACAATTGGAAAAAGACAGAAATAATCAGAAAAAACATAAACATGAAACAATCTCAGTACAACAAACAATGAAATTAACTAAAAATAATTTTTTTTGATAAGAGCCCACAGCAAAAAAATAAAATAAAATAAAATAAAAAAGATAAATTCTAGGAGAAATACTAAAAGTTCAACAAAAAATTCCACTAATGAACAAATATGCAGAAGTATACTTCTGGGTCTTGTCATCCATCGAAAAGGTTAGGATGGAAAAGCAAGAAACTCGAAAATAAAAATCTACAAGTTGGATACAAATCTAAAAGTTGAATTTTGAGTTCTAATGAACTTCAAAAATGTTGGAAAAAAATAAATATATAAATAACCCTCAAATGACAACAGAGTTGAAGATTTTACCTGGTGTATCTTCACCACTCACCACTCACCAGTAACCTCAGAAAATCTGCTTACAGCACAAAGAGAGCTGGATTACACAGAGACGTTAACGGTGTAAGGGTGAAAGGCGTAGATGTAATTTGTCGATCAAGCGACTTCTACCGGTTGATCGCGACTAGATCAGAGTGAGTTTTTCACATATTTAGCCCCTGTTCTTCATTATTCATTTTTTCACTCTTTTTGAATCACACGTCGTCAATAAAATAATAAGAAGTGTTAAGTGTACATAAATATTTATGCAATGGTGTTCATAATTATATATGATATTAAATTTAATTTTTAAATTAAATCTCACACTTTTACATCAACAATAAGATGATTATCACATTACATTATGAACAATATTGTGTGCAATAATTATGTACATATAGACTTTACCTAAAATAATATTATAAACAAACACAAAAATTTCATTTATTTTTTAACTACACATCATTCATCAATCTAACTAACAAAACTTTGAAATAATGATTATCAAAATTTTATATTTCACATACTAATTTATTAAAAAAGTACATAATAGTATGAATAATTGTGTAGCACTTCACCACCCGATGTCCCATGTGGCCGATTCACCGAAGCCCTATGACAAAGCCACGTGGCATCCCATGCGGAGTGCATAGGAACTACGCACTATGTAGGTGGCTTATTGATAAGTGTATTTTTACACACTTATTTGACCACAAAATATGACTAATTATTGATCAAAGCGTTTGAATTGTGGCTTAATTTTATATAATTATGTTTTGTATGACCATATTGATGAATGTGGCGGAATTCAAGAGAAAAAAATGAAAAAGAATAAAAAAAGAAGGAAATTCAAAGTACGAGGACTAAATTGCAACATTTCAATATTTGATTCGGACCACAAAATAAAGACTAAAGATGTTGCGAGTTCAATTGGATGTAATTAAAAGTCAAAGTGTTGAAAATGCAAAGAGAAATGACTTGAAAGAATCAAGAATCGACTTCAGGGGACTAAAATGCAACATTCGAAAGTTTTTTATAATTGAGCGACAACCCAATTGTTTAGAGTGAGCAACCGCCTAACGTCAAAAATCAATTACTGAGAAGAAAACTTTGACCTGGGCGACTGCTCGGATATCGCCGAAGCCAATCGCGGCGAAAAATTTCTGATTTCCTATCTAATCAAAATTCTTTTGGAAACAAATCTTTAGAGATATTTTGCAACCCTAGAGTCATCCAAAAACTTACACCACGCATTATAACACATTCATAAGGGTTTTTAGAAAGGAGAACAAGGCAAGAACGTGAAAATTGACAACAAGATGCAAATATTCAATTCAAGATTTAAAGCGGTGATGTCATTTCTTTATGATTTAGTTTGTTTTCTTCTTCCCACCATGTTAGGCTAAATATTTCTGTGCTAGAAAAATAATGAGCTTTTTGATATGAATTTTTAATCTTTAGTTTTAGATTTTTGACATTAAAATATGCGTTTGAAATTTGAATGATTTATATGCACTTATTTTCTCCACAATTATTGTTCACGTAATTTGTGTGAGTTTGGTGACTTGTTCTTGCTTTCGAAAGAAGTGGAATATGTTCGACATGGTATAAATCATCGTAAGATCCGATAGGGGATAGAGATATACCGCTATACCTTGCGTGAATCTTTAAGTGTTCACGAAACCACATGCATTCTTATATATTTGCATCCGTCATAAAAATATAGTCAGGTGGTATATGAGAGTTGGTTCAATGCTACTATTTTATTGATTAATATGAATTTTGTTAATAAAAAGGGTAAAAGAAATTTAAAAATGAAACATAAACTACGAACCACAAACCCTAACTTTTCTCCATCTTCTTCATTTTTATTGATCAAGAAGACATTTTTGTTACATTCTTCATCCATTTTGAGAGGTTAGCAATTAGCAATTATTTATATTTTACTTTTATAGCTTTTTGTTTTGTAAACATTAAATACAACATGGGCAAATTTATTTGAAGTTTTTGAAACTATTATGCATTGATTTGTTTCGTTTTGGAGTCCTTCACAAAATATTATTATCACCATTAAGGTTTTGAGTAACTTCTTCCATTCAAACCAAAAACTGTTTTCATTGAATGTCTTTTTAATGACAAGGCCAATTTGACCTTTTTATTTTGTCATTTGGTAGCTCAATAGTAATGACCACACTTAATGTACTGTGTTGTGCTGAAAAAGCCTGAGTTCCATCCACTGCCATCTGCTTCCCAACATTGTTAACAGTTCAACTGTCGAATTTAACGTTTACAAACTGTTGGGTTAAACGTTTGAAATGTTGAACCCGAAACTTACAAGCTGTCGGGATATATAGTTTTACTGTCAATTTCGACACTTTAAAACGATGAAAACCCTTGATTTGATATTTTGCTATTGTACGAATTTACGTATTATGCAGTGTCACTTTCATGCTATTAAATGCCAACATATTGATTCTGCAGAATTCTTATCATTGCAATCCCAATATTTCAGGTATTAGTAATCATTTGAAATTCTCCCAACTCAGAAAATGCACTCAATGTGGGAGAATTGGTTATAATCGGACCACATGTTCAAACCCCATTGTATCACAAGCCATGTGAACAAGCGTGATGTATAAAAGTGGTTGTCAAATATAATCCTGAAAATGTTCCCCCTTATGCAATGTACATTCCGAACTTATATTATTAATTTGTTGTTATTATCACATGCCAACAAAAAATTGATCGTTATGTTTCGCAAGCATAGTATCGATCATTACGGTTCCATTCGCACAAACGGGATGAATACATTATTTTTATTATAAACTTAGCCGATCATTATGGTTCCATTAGTTTCGACTGACAGTTCGTCGAAATAGAAAATTGATTTTCATGAGACGACAATTCACAAGCAAAATACCAACATTTCGTCCCAACAGTTCATATGTCGTTTCCAACAAATGGTCTCTATAATTTTCAACAGTTGGGAACAATAACAGCTTCCAAAAATACACTATTGCGGTTACCCATTATGGACATGCTGTTGCTGCACGTACACAGAGGAAGTGACGAAAATCATCCCTACCACAAAATACTATACATAATTTTCTACAAAATGACCATTTATTATACACTTGCATTGCTATCAATATTTTAAGCTTCTCCCCCACTTTCTCCATTAAAATCGTCTGAGCTTATGACAATTATTTCTGGAGGTGGAAGGTAAGTCGGCCACTCATCTGAGTCGGACAGTGATTCGATTAGACCCTGACCTCGAAGACTTGATCAAGCACGCTATTTGGTGACTTAGATTCTGCACTTGAACACTCGACGAACTCGGAACCATGGTGCTCAACGTTTACCTCCTCATCGCCCGAGGATAAAATGATGAAAAATTCAGCGGACGAACCCAGTATCGACGGATGCATATTGGGGTTGAATGGTTCATTGTTGAAAGTGGATGAACCTATTATCTCGTATCAACTAACTGTTTCAATATGGAAGTCTCACAAAAGCTTCTCTAGTCCTTCAAGGTGCTCATACACTGCTATTTATAATGAACTTGTTGGAGGATGGTTAATTAAGGTCAATTAGTTCCCAACGACCAACCTGTTTCACCACATCTCAAATTTAATTTGATAGACAATTGGTGTGATGCCTGGAAGATCTAAATGCACTTGTATTGGTGTGACATTCACTATCATTTTCTCATTGTCTTTTTAAAAGAGAAACTTTTAAAATGCACCAATTTTCATTTTCCAATTGGATACTAGTTCTAATCTATAGGTCGAATGAGTTCAAAAAGCAAGAAACTTAGAAAATGCGCCAAAAATAGTTTGCGCACCAACATTTTCTGTACTATATCCACACAGTTTCTTTGACAATGAATGTCACTTGAACATAACCAACATTTTCCAAAAAATAAGTATACAATAATGTAAAACAAAATGTTCTTCTGTGCATTCTCTGCAATCACCCAAAGTGGAACATTGTCAACGTCGCTCTTTCTTTGACGGGGACATCGATTGGTTCCACCTCCCAATATAGCAAGAACATGTCGATCAACACTTTGACGCTTGTTCAGGTCATAAGTATGAATTTGCACATAGGCCGTCATACATCAGTAAAATGAGTATTTTGAGACAAAGCAGGTAGAAAGTGAGGGGAAGAAATGCAATACCGTTCAGGCCCATGCTATCTTCATCAATCACCTCACAAAATAACAAAATGCTCGATGACTGTTTTTACGTACCGCAAATTGCTACTCTGCAAAATATGGCCCTACAGCCGTGCATTCTCTGCAAAGACAAAACAAGAAATGAATGCATCAGACCATAATATAATATATCTAGCTGCATATGGACCAAAAACCACAAGTATACTGTGAATTGTCTATCAAGAGTTTGACTTGAATACAACGAGTACCACCCACAACAAGTGGATTGCAAGTGAAAGCAAGGTTATGAAACATGTATCATATACATTGAAACAAAAGATATGTCAAGTGTCAATTAAGATTTCCACAAAATGCATAAAACAAGTATCACCCACATTACTTCAAGTCGCCCTTTACAAATTTACTTATGAAAGATTGAAATTAATGTGAAATACATTGAGTTGAGGCAAGGACTGAACTGTTGTTCCGATATTTTATCTATCGACAACTTCATCTGTCGAGAATTACTGAGGCTTACTGTCGAAAACGAAGTTTAGCAACAACTTGTCGACAGATGAACTAAGTTTAGCAACAACTTGTCGACGGATGAACTAACGAAAAATCTAGTTTAAAACCTTCCCACATAGGTATTATACAAAAGATTTTCACTCCATATTTGAGCAGAATAAAAAATTAAATCCACAAGTATGTTGTCAAGTGTCTATCGAGAGTTCCACCCGAATGTAGTGAATAGCACCTACAACAGATGGATTGCAAGTGAAAACAAGGTTTTGTTCACATCACACGAGTAACTTAAACATTCGAACCAAAGATATGTCTAGTATCAATCAAGATTTCCACCAAATGCCTACAACGAGCAAAAATTTTAAAATTTAAATAATGAACATGTAATCGATTCTAGAACACTTGACAATTTTAATTAATGAACATAACAGTGGATGACAAATATAAATTTGTTTGAGGGCGTATCTATTTAGCAGATTATGAATAAAACTCTACTCATTCAAGTACTTTACTTTGGTCATGTCATCCAATCCTCTATGTTCAATTTATCCTTATACCGCAAACACAATTTATCCACCACATTGTTCACAGTGAAAAGCTCAAAAAATGACATCTAGTGCAATTTCCTCAATTTTGACTTCATACTAATAAATAAGTTTGACCAACATTCATGTATCAAGGTAAGACATTCATGACTCTAACTTGTAATTCCTATAGATTTTTCGATCTCTATATAAAACAGTTTAGGGAGGATGAAACATCAAGAAGAAATCTAAATTTGAATAGACATAAATCGCAACTATGTTCCTCCCTACGAAATGTGAAATTCACGTGCTCATTTCTGTGTAGTGTCAGTTGACAGTATGTCAACTTCAAGTTTCAGCACATAAATTGGTATGCAACAGATATGAGTTTGTGATTTTTGTGTAAAGCCATTTGTAACAAGCATGAATTACATTATCGTGTGAAGGCACACACGCATGCTAGAAACTGAAAAATAGACAAACGTATTTGTGCATATGTCACCATAACAAGCATAGGTTGTTATGTACTTTACACATAAAATCACAACGTGTCTAATCCATTTGAAAATGAAAGAAAGTGTTCAAATCCTCACCGGGTAGAACCAAATGGGAGGCTTGGAATAGAATGGTTATCAATGTGTGCAGACGATGACCACAGCTCCGAAATTTGAAACACACCTCAATAATTGATCCCCTAAACATTATTCACATCAAACAAAATCGTAATGTCAGCAACACTGTGATGATCATTACTTACATTAAACTTGAAGATAGGAAAAAAAACAAAAAGAAGCTACGGGTTTCTAACCATTTAAGTTACCGTACTTACTCTTGAAGACAAGCAATAAATTAAAACAAGTAACCATAAATAGAGTCTCAATATGAGACAGTGAATGACATCTGTGCAAGTGATTTGAATGAAAACAATTTAGAGGTCAGTACATATGATGCAATTTCACACACCTAATTTAATTTAACATTATTTAAAATAATCAATTACACAAATTTATACACCTCATTTCATTTAACAATACTTAAAACAATTAGTGACACAATTTTATACACCTCATTTAATTTAACGATACTTAAAACAATCGATGACACAATTTTATACACCTCATTCAATATCAACATAGGTGTACATTTCCAATGTACAAATAGCATAAATCTATATTATTTTATTTATCTTGTTCGATTTAACGTATTGAATAGTAAACAACACATTATTCGTGTAAGAGTAAAATGCCAGCCAAGTGTGGCATTTTCTATTATCAACAAAATTTTGGATGCCAAATTGATATACTTAGATACCAACTACATGGTATGTGCTGAAAAAGATTGATTCCAGTGTGGAACATGTGAAACAACCCTCCACATTAGGAACGTGGTTTTCCACCTCTTCCTGAGTAGAATTGGTGGTTTTTGTGTCTTCCCTTTCCCTCGAACAACTAAATATGGTTAAAGTTTATCAGCATGAAATCGAATAGTGTAACTACTTTGTTATAGTATTCTTTTGGGACATTTTGCATGTAACGTTTTCTGTGCACATAGTGAGATTTCTCACGAAATAAAACAAAGTTAAAATAAAATCATCTGATTGGTTAGGAAACCTAAATCAGTTTCGATGAACATTTGTCTGTGCCAAATTCAATAAACAGCAACAAAACTTTTTCTCTTTATGGTAATAACAAATTCTGAGCAAAACAAAGACTGTAGCATGAAGTTGTGTGTTTTTTGTGAGTTATTGAGAAAGCAATTGTGTGATGCAATCTAACCCACATTCTAATGCACAAGGGACGTACAAATACCGCAAGTTTCATTTCCCTTTCATATTATTTTGTTATAATTTCCTGGGCGCATATTTAATATTCACATTTTACATTCTAACAACAAATTATACTCAATGAATGAAATCCAATATATTCAATTACTCAGTTTTTTCTCTCTAGAAAACTAAGAATGCAAGTTATAGAATGAAAGAAAATTTTAAACTTCTCATACATCGAGAAAAAGTGAAACAAAAAGGAATTTTCCCTACTAAACCAACCAAATGGAAACATAAGAACACGCGGTGCATCTTATTGTAGAATGAAATAAGATATTAAACTTCTTATATAACAGGAAAAAGTGAAACAAAAGGGCTCTTCCCTAATAAACCATTCCAGTGGAAAAAAAACAAAGGGCATATTCAACTACAAGCCATTATGGTTAAAGTAATCATCAAGCACATCACAAGGGCGATACAAATGGATGTAGATTTAGTCCTTATTTGGTCCACATTTGTTAAAACTTATTTTCCTCAAATTTATTTTTAACCATGCATTTCGTGGGAACCACAACTTTTTAACCAAACATTTCATCAACTTTTATCCAAATTTTCTAAAAATCAATTTTTTTTATTAAAATCAAACAAGGGCTTATAGATTTCGAGCTTATTCAGTGTAGAGAACATATCCTCACACAATATCCTAGTATGAAAATGTATTTTCATATGTATGACAATTCCCATAGAGGTGTTGGCGAGACATGTTATAATTATAATGAGTTAATTGTTCCAATGGTCACTGAATTTAGATTCATATCTTTGATTGGTCACTAAAATTTGAAATGTCGAGTTTTGATCACTAAACTTAGGTCAATGTCCTCGATTGCTCGCTAAAATTAGGTCCATGTCTTAGATTGCTCATCGAAGTTTAAAATGTCGAGTTTTGATCACTAAACTTTAGAATATGTCATACATTACTCACTAGCATAACTGTTAAACTTTGAAAAATATCGAGTTTACAGTGAGTAATATACATCATTTTTCAAAGTTTAGTGTGTAATGTACAATATTTTTCTATTTTTCGAAATTTAGTGAGTAATGTACAACATTTTTCAAAGTTCAGTAGCCAAAACTCTACATTTTAAATTTCAATGAGCAATCAATGATATGAACCTAAATTCAGTGACCAAAACTCGACATTTTAAATTTCAGTGATCAATCAAAGACATGGACCTAAAGTCAGTGATCATTGGAACAATTAACTCTAATTATAATAATTATTGTTAAAATCTATAAATCATTTATAAATGATCAAACTACATTTTCAACCATCCATTTCAATGGACATTCAAGTACTATCCATTTATCTAGCACTAATTTCTATCAATTTATAAATTAAACCCCTTTCTAAATTCTTCTTTTCGAACCAAAGCTAATTTATATTAGGGAAATAGTTTTCTTGCACGAGCAGTTATGAAGGATTACAATTTCATTGTAACAGTGTGCAAATAAAAAAAATGGAAAGAAAAATGCTTCCATGGTAGCAGATTACTCATTCTATATCTAAGGATGTCAAACAGGTTGAGCGGCTCGTGCTCGTGGGCACACGGCCCATGAGCCATTTTGACGAGCCGTGGGTTCGCCAAAAAATATTAGTTTTTTTTTTTAAAATGTCCAAAATGTGCAAATTTACCAAATTTTTTTTTTTTAAAATCATGAGCTCACGAGCTGCTCTTGAGCTCGGCTCGGCCCGAGCAAAGAGCCGAGCTCGTGGGTTAAATGCTCGGCTCGACCCATTGCCATCACTATCTATATCTCACCATGTACAATAATATCCACAAGTCTACTCATAAACAACAATTAATCAAACTGATCAGAGTATAAAAGCAAAGAAAAAAAATCAAATCTTGTCATGGTTGGGTAAGTATGGTTACAAATTTGCCCTAGCATCGAAAAGTTGCATATTCAAAATAAAATTGCACATAGAACATCATGCAAATCAAAATAATAAGAATATTCAAAGGGTAAAGGAAAATAAAAAAATAAGAGAGAGAGAGAGAGAGAGATGGGAAGAAATTTGTACCTGACGAAGAGAAATCATTCAAAGGTCTTCACGGACTGCAAAGAAATTTTCTCATAAACATTGATCATCTTCCTCCACTTGTTTTCTCAGTTTCACCCTTGGATACACTTGAAAATTTCAACAAAAACAGAAAACCCATCTCATAAATAAGAATTTAAAAGCAAAAATAGAATCATAGATGCAGAAAAATAATTTTCGACGATTCCAGTGAGAGAGGGCGGGCGATTGCAGTGAGAGACGAATCTGTGATTGAGTTCGTTTGGCTTTAACCTTCTTTTTTTCTTTTTTTTTTTCCCCACAACTCGTCAATGACTATCCTGGCACAATTTTTTTACAACCTTTTGTCTAGTCTTATCATCTCATTTAATGGAAGATAGGTAAGGTATTCAAATTATGCAGAGGGGCAAATTGTCCAAAATTGCCGCCAAATTTGCAATGACTTCAAAGAGATGACATTTTTGTAAATGCAAATCGAGAATTTGACATCTAGTGTAATTCCACTATACTTATTTTGTTGTTTATTGAATTCAAATATAAGGGCCAAAATTTATAATTAAGACAGAAGAGACGACTGAATGGCCCAATTACAATACATCATCTACCCTTTTGTCAAATTGTTTCTTAATCACATATTTATCATTGAAGTATTAAATGGATCGCGTCAAGTCAAACCACTCGACTCTTCTACCTTCCAACTCGATTCAACCTACCACGCGAGTCAGCTCGCTTCACCAAATGTGGGTTCAACTTGCCCCTTGATGGTATAGCTACTCAACAATATTTTTATTCTTTTCAATGAAGGTCACATTTCACTTACCAATTACAAATAGGCTCACGTGTCCGATTCGTGCGAGCCACTTTTGCTCCTTGGCTCGTCCCATTTAATATACCTATTTTACCCTCAAAGTCTCTTGTTCAAGCATCTTCACAGAAGTCTCAATTACATTTATCATGGTTAATTTTATTTACAAAAAATTAGCCGTGCAGTAGGTGTTTAGAAATATCTTGAGCTGAAATGGGGCTCGAAAAAAAATAATAATAAATAAGAAGAATGGTGTTTTGAGAAGAGTAAAATCTGTGATAAATTACCCAAATACTTCTTGTATGTGGGATTTTTGCCACCTACTTGAAGATTGTGCACAAGAAAGAAGAAAATGAAAAGAACTAGGTTCCATTGAGGTGATCTCGAATATCAGTAAATATACAAATTTTAAAATCAATTTTTTTTTTTTGAGTGAATTAAAGTTAAAAGATAATTTAGCTTGTCATCTTATAAGTAATAGAAAAGGAACAACCCAAGCATGCTTTGAAATAAAAATTGGCAATCTTGATTACTAGCCAAAATTGAGTGGACTTGCAATGTAGCATCGAAATAAAAATGGGAAATCTAGTTTTCAATGTTGATTTTTTTAAAAATAAAAAAAAGAAATCTCGAAAATGCTAGGTAGTTGGGTGAAACTTGGGAGTCGAGATTTGGAACTCATTAAAAATCTCAATTTTTTATCAAACGACGAATTTATGTATACGACACTGATAAATATTGCACTATTTTTTACCTTATTAAAATCAAATGTTCTGTCACAAGTATAAATCATACGAATATGTGAAATTCATATACAAAGAGAACACTCATAAAGGGAATCTAATAACAAAGTTCAAATAAAGAGTATATAAACAATATGGGCACCACGCCCATTTCGTCCATTTGCTTCCTCTCAAATGGTCGTGTGCAGTCCATTCATGTTATTTGCCAAAGGTAATTTAGTCAAGACACTAATTGGCATCTTTTCTTGAAATTTTGAGGTTTGACATGTCAAAGAAAAATTTAAGGTTTACAATTCAACATAAAATATTGAACTTTACATACATTTCGAATTTGTCATAGCGAGTTAGTAGATCAAATCTCGAATTGGTATTAAAATTCAACTCAGATGTCAAGGGTGGGTTCGAATCACGGAAGAAGTGATAAAAAGTTTGTGAGGGGTAAGATAGATAAATTCTCTTAAAGTGGACAACTTAAAAGAACGCTTGGATTGGGCACAAGCTCGCATCGTTCCATAAATATTTAATTGTATAATGGAGTAATTATGTTAAACATTAGATACTTTAATATTTTAAAATGTTCCAGGCTTAGAAAAAGTTGAGAAAATAATCCCGGTAAAACATTATCTTATGATAATATAGTTATAGATTTTAGCTCCTGTTTGATTCCCATTACGTAGGAAAATTAATGAGGGGAATAGTGCTTTTTTGAAAAATGCGTGGTTGAAAAAGAATGAAAAGTTTTTGATTTACGTATAATATTATTTTATAGAAGATTGCGTGGTTGAAAATAGGAGAGAGAAAAATGAAATGTAATAGAATTTAATGTAATGGGGATCAAACAGGGGCTAATGCTGCCAAGTTTATCTATATTTGGCACCATTTATTAAAAAACTTTTTTTTTTTCAAAATTTATTTTCAACCACACATTCTCCATAAAATAATTTTACACGTAAATCGAAAAAATTTTCTTTTTTTTAACTACATATTTTTTCAAAGAATCACTATTTCAAAATCAATTTCCTCGCCCAATTGGGGCTCAAACAAGTAAATATTATAAGTCATAGGTGATGACCTTAGTAAAATTATGATTAATTAAAGTATTATTAATATAAAAGAAAAACATTAAAATTACTAGAAAAGTTGAATGTCTTTAAATCTGAAAAATCGATATTAAAAGTATTCGATTATATTTTTCCTCGTACACACTAACGTGTCCACTAACTCTTTCCATCTCAAATATTGGTACTAGAGTCAAATTTCCGCTCTCTAACCGCCCTCACTTTTATAAACAAAATAACTCAACTCTGACCGCTAAACTCAACATAAAAAGGGGTTTGCCGTAAACGGGGGATTTTTTTATGTAGCCTATTACTATTTCTTTTCATAGAAAAATCTATATTACCCTTAATGAAATGATTTTTTCTATATTGTCACATATACCCCAATCTTTTAAAACTATTTTATTTTATATTTATTCTATTTTGAATTTTAGCATATAAATCCATTCTTTGATCAAGTAAATTGGAATAATCTGTAACATACTGTTCATATTTTTCATTAAATATATTATATTCTTCAAAAGACGCATTCAATTTTTTTAATTGAGAAATAATATTTTTTATTTCTTCTAATATTTTTTCTAACAAATTATGTAATCCTTCAATTGTATATCCTGACATTAATACAAATAATCATTAAATCATGCAATTAATCCCTTTGATTCTCTAAGATCTAAAAAAGATTCATTCTAATTTTAGGAAAAATTTAATAGTTTTATCTTAGTTTTGATCTGGATCTTTATTCTTAGAATCGAGTGACTTTTGAGCTCTGAATATGTAAAATACTTCTTTCAATGACCTCCTGCCTTCATGAAATTTTTATTATTTTAGTTTCTTGCTCTCACTGTATCAATTTTAAAGAATAAAATTATAGACTTCTGTTAAAAAAAACTCTCTTTTTGCTAAAATAAGAAGGAAACTTTCTATTAGATCCTTTAAGAATCGCTGTGAATAAAGATTTAGAAACTCATATTGATATCAAAATATTGAAATTTTATTTGTATAAGAACTTTTACAAGATTTCTATTTAGTATACAAGAATTTCCAGAAAAACTGATTTTTAAGACTGGGGATGGCTTAAAAGTGTCTATTGATTACAATTTCGAGATTTCAAGATAAGATGATCTCTATCCATTATAATGCCTCTATTTATACAAATATATGAGGCTCTATTATTGATCTTATTACATCATTCAATACATCAGCAAAGGCACACTTGCCTTTCTATTATTGTCTTCCTTAGACCTACATCTTCACATGCAGCATTAGATTTTTATTAAAGGAGCCTCTATTATTGTCCTCCTTTTCTTATGTCTCCACATGTTTTTTCAACTTTTTATTCAAAGAGCATCTTTCTCTATTATTGTCATTTATCTTTTATATTTTCACATGCAGCTGGGGCACTCCCTTAACTGGCAGGATTCTCTTATAGTGATAGAACATCCTGAAAATTAATGTATTTCGAATCTTGTAATGTAGTCTTTCAAGATTTCTGATTTTCCATGTCTTCCATTTGATACCAGCATCCAGTTTTCATATTGACACAAGCATGAAAATTTTTTATCAAACAAATTTTTATAGTACACAGCCTTAATTCCAAGTACTCTTCTATGTCTAATCCATGATTTTGTTATTGTTGAAAATTTTCTATGATTTTCCACCACATCTATTTGGAAGTTAGCTGCTACATACTCAATTGATATTATATGTTCAACTGAATAATAAACAACTCCATCGTATTCAGGGCTTATTGAATAAAATTTTAAATATATTTTTCGTCCCTTGGCAAATCTTGATACTTCTTTTATGAATATGTCATCAAATTTCGAAATTTCAATCAAATCTTTTCCTGGATTCAAATCCATAAGTCCATAATCTGCCATAATCTCTATAAACAAAAGATCTCCTCCTTCCATGGCCGTTATCCTAAGACAAACATTATTTTCTGGAGAGATGAAATATGAATAACTTATTTTTATTTCATAAGCAATTTTGACTATTTTTGCATATTCTTCTTCTTCTGGATTTAACGGGATTGTATCATCCTGGTCTATGATGCTAATAGTTTTGGAATCTTTTTTAGCTCCATGTACCACTACTTTTTCGGTTGATGATACTGAAATGAAATCTGATTTTTTATCAGTTGGTATATTGTCACGTCTGGGTCAACTGCTACTTCCAGCTGTTCCTGTTTAGTATTGATTTGGAAAACTCATTTCTGAGCTCTTTGGTATAGCTGTCTCGAACAATATATCTTTTAATTGTGCTACAATAGCATCAACTTGATTTTTGAGTTCTATGACTTCTTTATGATGCTCAGTAGTGATATTCAACAATATTTTTATATTTGAGTTGAACATCTCTGATATCTGTGTTGCTCCAGTATTTATATCTTCAGATTCTTCTTTAAGAAAATCTGTTCTTTTTTGTATATGTAGAATAGATTGGTATAATTCCATGACCTCAGCTTTATCCCAGCAAATTCTATGTTTCTGCTGAGAAAATCTGCAAGAAAATAATTAACTCCTTTAATATGAAGTATATCAAAATTATAAAATGCTAGATAAGTTTGTTATCTATGGAGCCTTCTGTATTGAGGTTCTGATGGTAATTTATTCCTGACTAATCTTGCAACTTGAGAATTAT